CTAAAAGTGCCTGGGCCCTTTTCAGGATCGTATCCAGGAAAGGCGCGTACGAACTAGCGTACATTATTCATTGTAAATGGAAATGGCCTATGAAAAAAATGTTCTAATAAAAGTAATTAATGTAATTACTTGCTCCAACGAATAAAAGTATTAACGCGTTATTCGTCAAAACTGCAAATTTTTCAATGTCACACCGACTTTGCACTAACACACGTACAAAAATCCTGTGATTGGTCATAGCTAAAACATGTCGGATGCGCAGTACGGATCGGCGCGAACGTGAAACAAAAGAGCGAGTGCCCATACTGGTTATACTGTGCCTATAGTGCAATACGGGCTTTAAAGCCTCCGCTACAATGATTCTCGGTTCTGTCTACAATGGTCGTAGTTGTAAGAATAATCGACTGCGATTGGTCAATTCTTATGCGACTGACTGAATTGACCAATCGCAGTCGATTATTCTTACGATTACGACCATTGTAGACAGAACCGAGAATCATTGTAGCGGAGGCTTTAAGCCCGTATCAGACTACGGATTGGGATTAGATTGAAATTTAACCAATCACAGTAAAGTTTACTAATCTTAATTAAGTTCAGTAACTTTTACTCTGATTGGTCAAATTTCAATCTAATCCCAATCTCAATCCGCAGTCTGATACGGGCTTTACGGGCCACTTTAACCAACCCCGATTAACTTTATGTTGTTGGTCTGATTAATGGCTCCCGGCCCAGTCGTCGATTAACTTTAATCAGAGAGAAACCCCTGAGAGTGGCCACGCCGTTTCAAGACACTGTTTTGCGCGCCTTTACGCCCATTTTTACTTTTGGAACTATTTTGCTACGCATCTTCCGACACTGCCGATAAAGTCCTCACTTTGTGCGTGTCCACGCTACGCCTATTTTTCAGGATTGTGCTGTGAATTTCAAAATTACATTAACATAAATTATCTGCACGATATTTACATCAACTGGTAATTCTTCAGTATAGCCACACCACCTCCAAAATCAATAAAATTAATCTCATTCGACGCGTTTTTCACCGAGAAACAACGTTTTCCTCAGTCAAAATCGCAGCTCTGTCTCGCGAAGCGAGATATTTAATTGTTAAAGTTGACAACTTTTAGGGTTATATCTCCACGCATACATTTTTCCACCCACATGTAAGTCACTCCCCCCCCCCCCCCACCAATTTCTGCCAGAATGAGCCTAATTTCATCGATTTTAGAGGTGCGGGAGCTAAACTGAATAATTACCGCTTTATAAAACTGGCGCGAATTGACAAAAGATGGCGGACCAATGACAGCGCGCTTCCTTATGGCCGGACTCCGATCAGTGAGCCTCTATGGTCGCGAAACGGAGCGGGAGCGGGAGCGACCGAGCGACGTCGGGCACGGGGTTCGGGGTGTCGGGATGAGATGGTGCGCGGCGTTGCGTGCGGTGTGCAAAGCGGTGGCCAAGCAGAATCCAAAATAATAAGATTCCCGAGCGTCCGTCCCGTGCGCTCGTGAGCCGCGTCAACGTCGGGCGAGAGCGTGGGCGTCGGATATCGGCGATGCCGCGATAACCGCGGCGGGGCCCGGGCCTTCATTTGCGCAATGACGTGTTCTCGCGCTCGGTCGCTGCCGCACGCTTGACGCGGCGCCCGCTGACCGCCGACCGAGGGAGAGAAGGAAGGGCCGCCGGAAGGACCAACGGGATCCCGCGGGTGCGGTGCTGCGATGCCGCTGCGTGCCAGCGGGCATCTCGCGAGAGTTAACGCGTTGTTGACGCGCGCCGCGATCGGTGGCCACGCACTCTTACGCACGCCGTCGACCCGGTGAACAGAAATGGGCAAGCAAAACGGCTCGTGTTGGTGGTGCGTCAAGGCCGTCAAGTGGCTGCCAGTCATCTTCATCCTGACGATCGTCGTGTGGTCCTATTACGCCTACGTGGTGCAATTGTGCTACTGTGAGTAACGCGTACCTTTCTCGCGGTCTTCCCTCGGCCGACTCTCGCCGGTCCCCCGAGTCCACGAAACGGCCCCGCTATAACCTCGTCACGCGTCGCGTCGCCAAAAACGCGCGCGCTTTCCATTTACGTTCGACTCGCGCTCGCATTTTCCTCGCGAGTGACGTAACTGATCGCGAGCACAATCGGATCTTTATTTCCGGATGTGTACAGCTTAATCTTAATAGCGTCCTACACTTTTTGCCGTGTTTTTTTTACATAATCCGTGGCATAAACGGAGGTAAAGTGAAACTGCAAAATTTCACCCGATATATTTACGCACATACCTATATAATAAGTGTATACATAAACAGCCATTTTATAAACAGAAGTGTTATTTTGCAACCATGTCAGACATATATGCGTATATGCTTATAGATTGGTGGCATAGCTGCAAAATAAATCTGCTCGAAAGCTTTATATTACATCATGGTATGTTTGTTTCAGATACAATAGACAATTATGTTCAAAAAGGTTCGTATCGTGTATTTTTTTTTTATGTACCAACTTTCTCTTCGATACTTGATTTGACCGTTTTATTATTTTCTACAATTATAACTCTCAGTGTCACTTGCGTTGGTACAATGTCAAAGACTTCATTCTAATTCTGGGAAGCAGCCCACACTTACATACCTATGCTATCTGTGTGTGTTAACAGCTTTCTACCTGCTTTTCTTCCACGTCATGATTCTGATGTTTTTATGGTCGTATTGGCAGACGGTGTACACAGATTTAATGCTAGTGCCGGATAAGGTAAAATAAAACTATCGTTATACAAAGAATAAGGGATAATTAGGGCTGGAAAGTAACTGGTTACTTGTAACGAAGTTACAGTTACTTTTTTTTTTGGTAACTTTAACTTAACTTTGTTACTTTCTCTCCATCTGTAACTGGAACTTAACTCAGTTACATTAATAGTTACTTTATCTATATATTTTAAACCTCGACAGATTGTATTAGGCCTTGCGTTTGCGCATAAACGCCCTCATCGACGTTTCACAATTCAAATGCAGATTTGATATTTTTATTTTCATTGCAAGAAAGTAACTGCAAAACAATCGGTTACTTTTTGAGTAACTGTAACGCGTTACTTTTCAGAATTTGTCACTTGTAACTGTAACCAGTTACATTTTTAGCGAAAACTCTTTTATAAAGTAACTTCCCTAATCCGGGTGATAATGATTGTGTCACGATACAATGTACCAACAATTTATATATATTTTGAACCCTTGTAGTTTAAAATACCTGATGTTGAAATGGAGAAATTGCAACAAGCCGAAACTGAGGAGACGCAGAGACAAATTTTGGAAAGATTTGCACAAGATCTTCCGGTTACTAATCGCACCATAAAAGGAGGTAACAATTTGATTAATTATCATAAGTGACATGATTGTGAAAAGATTGTCACGGGGTCTTCGGGGGTGTGGCCACTCTTCGTACGATGGTCTACCAAACCATTGAGTGAGATACCACGCGTCGCTCTGGAGTCGCACTGCTAGTTTACTATTCGTACTTTATTCAGTAAAATAAAGTAGGTAAGGATTTCGAATGTGGGCCTGGATAGCTCAGTTGGAAGAGCATTCGCCCGGCAAGCGGAAGGTCCCAGATTCGAATCCTGGTCTAGTCCTAGCCCGTTATTTTCTCGCCGAAAATTAACAAGTGGCGCCTCTTAGTGCCTACCTCCCCGAAGATACACCCTTGTTACTATGGTGTTTGTTATAAAGAATCGATAGCCAACGATGTAAATTGTTAGGAGAAACTTGGCGCCTCAAGCTGATAATATTCTTTCTTTAGCTATGCGATTCTGCGAGAAGTGTCAGTTAATAAAACCTGATAGGGCACACCACTGTAGTGTATGTGGCACGTGTGTCTTAAAAATGGACCATCATTGTCCATGGGTGAACAATTGCGTAGGCTTCCACAATTACAAATTTTTCATGCTGTTTCTGGCGTATGGACTTCTCTACTGTACGTTTATTACCGCCACGTCTTTGCAATACTTTATACAATTTTGGAGAGTGAGTACAATCTTTTTTTCTGTTTTACGATAAATTTCTACGAAAATAATTTATTCAGATTATATAATGTATCGATAAATCCATTTCAAGTTGCGGTTCGCGATTAATAGAGGAAAGTCTATTATGAGATAAGCTCCTGATATGAGATAGCAGGGTATCTGCTAAATTAATAGGCATCATTGTTTGTTCCACTATGAATTTATTGCTCTTGGAGCGAAATCTATTCAGTAGAAAATTTATTGTTTCATCGTGTAATCGTCGCGAAAGAAGATTTGTTATTGAATTTGGATGTTGAAATCCTACTATCTCATATTAGAAGCCTATCTCATAGCAGAGGACTTTCCTCTACAAATTGTTTCTTTGCAGGGTGAATTAGACGGGATTGGAAGATTTCATTTGTTATTCCTCTTTTTCGTTGCGTTGATGTTTGCGGTCAGTCTTACCTCCCTTTTCTGCTACCATTGCTATCTCGTTGTGCACAATAGATCGACGCTAGGTAATTATTGGATATTTCCATCTTAATATATCTGACAATACTTGGCTGTAATATATTGAATCAGCACGGTGTAACTGCATTTACAGAGGCCTTTAGAGCACCCATGTTTCGAACAGGGAAGGATAAAGACGGATTTAGTCTGGGAAAATATAATAATTTTCAGGAAGTGTTCGGTGACAATCCACGACTTTGGTTTCTACCCATATTTAGTAGGTACGTGCGTTTCATTCCTCTAATACTTGCTGCGCGATAAAATTACAAGTATAATTTACAAAGTGGGAACCATTTGCACAATGCATAATAACTGAATTATTATATCAATTTGTATGCTTCTAGTATACCGCCTATCATAATCTTTACCATAAAAACACAACTATGCGGTTTGGCATACTTAAACGAAATTTGAAATACGGTAACATAAGTACTGCAGGGCCTTGAATATAAAGTGTGAGCAATTCTGATTTTTTCAAAGTTTATTTTTCTTCAAAGAAGCAAAATAATCGCATGTTTTATGTGATTTTTAAATTGTTCTATATATATTTTTCTCTATAATTACATGGAGAATGTTCCGATTATATGTGTAAGAATATATATATCATGGATATTGTCTATTGTCTTTTTTTCTATAAAAAGTTGGAGGATTTCCATCTATCGTTGTAATAGAAGGATATATATGTTTAAACTACTTTTATTATATTTCTGTGTTAGAATAATTACGCAGAGAAAAAAACTGTTGTGTGACTATTTATTATATTTTATAAATCAGAGCAGGATGCAGATAGATTGTTACATAAGTGGTAATTTACTGTTTTCCATTTTTACCCTGTATATAAAATCTTCCTGTTTTCCGATGAGTTTTTTTTTTTCTAGAAATGTGGGTACAAAAAACTTTTCATTTGGGTGCACTGTTAGTTAGTATGCAACTTTCGCACTTTGAGATCATTCTTTTAAGCACAATATTTATTTGCACCTTTACGACTGATAGAAGGTATAGCAGGTTCAGTATTTTTAAATTGGAGTGGTTGCATTGGATGTGTTCTAGTCTGGGAAATGGTGTCGTCTATCCAGTAAGATCGCAACACCAGGGCACACCCAATACTTATGACTCCATGGGCAGTACTCAGAACAGGTCAGCATTATAAAGATTTTAAACAAAGATGCAATATTCATTACCTTGATTCTTTACTGTGGAACTCTTTTTATTTATTTCTTTCATAAAGATATAATTAACGTGTACACAAAGGCTTTGTTAAGTAAATTGTAAATTTGTTAAATTTTGGCAAAAAAATTTTAGAGAAGAAACTGCAAGAATTCGTTTTTAAGTTTGATTATTTTACTTCGTTCTCAATCTATTGAAATTATTTTCTTGCCTTTATATATGTTTTACAGATCTTTTTTATTATTTTTTTTAGAGTTCCAGAGTAAAGATAAGACCTTAAGTGCTTCCAGGCTGCATGCAACGCATTTGTATCTTTCGTTTGACGCTGACTATCACTTCTACAGCTATTACTATCCCCCAATTTGTTTCTTAATACGACTTGAGCTTTCTATACAATTTGTCTGCAAGGTTTATAAAGTCAAACCTTTATTCTGCTTCTGAGGAGATATTCTTTGCAACCACAATTATGTTCACCAGCATTGACACAATTTACACTTTGCATACCTCTAACTTTCGATACTTTTTATGTTTTTTATTGAAAGGCATTTTGAAGGAAAAGTAGTAAAAGGGTGTTGCTGAAAAAAAAAGAACTTAATTTTTTAAGTCTCTGCAGGTTTCTCTAAAAACATAAATAAATAAATATCTATTTGTTACAGAATGTATACTGACAAATTTAACGACGCTATATTTTCAAATATGTCTATATAAAAGAAATTAAGAGATTGATTTTTATGGTAAAGTTGCATGTTTGTATATTATTATTATTATATTACAAATTTTGTCGTATGTCATATTAAAAGTTTTAGTTGAATACTAATTCGCGTAAAATTATGACGTGAGGTATTGTGCATTTGGTTCTTACAGACAGTACTTGTAGTATAAAAGGTGGTGTAACTATGTAGCCTTTCTTTAAAAGAAGTATCGTTCACTTGTTTTACGATTCTTCTTCCATTCCGTGAAGTTGGTTACAGAGATAAATTAAACGAACGAAAAAAATAAAAATAAAAATTGACGAAATGTCAATGTGGTAAGGTGTAGTTACGCCATAAGGGTTGTAGACATGGGATGAGACATCGAGTAGAAGGTAGGGTATGGCTTGCAGTTTTGGAGACGGGGTAAACTTTCCCGAGCGGCTGTGCAATGAAGATACTCATACTCTGTTGGGCCCCGGCACCCAACAATGGGGTGATGAAACCGAATTTGACTCCCCATCTCCCTACATAAATCAGGTACTTTACAGGCTCGATCCTTAGATCAAGACAATAATCTTGTTTAAATTGATCAAAGTGTATCAAAATGCCACTTCACATATAGCAATCATTCCTTACAAATTATACTTATATATATAAATATTTATTATCATTTACCAGTTTATATGTAGCTGTATATGTATAAGATTTATCGCAATTGAAGTATAGCAATGCATCTCCCATGATTCGTGATTGATTTTAATGACAAGTTTCTTGATGAATTTAAAGTTGGTTTTTCTCATAATATTGAGGCGTTAATGATTGTTTAATTAACAATGATTGAATTTGCAAACAAAAATTTTGTATGTACAGATAAAATAATAAAGTTTTCCCTACTTTGTTAATTTGCAGTAAACTACAACAGGATTTCAATTAAAAATTTAATAGAAATATATAACGTTTAAAATTTAAAAGTTATTATATGTACTTTTGAAATATTTTTTGCAAAGAAAACTTAATTTTAAATTGATCAGAGAATTCAAATTAAAATCATGAGTCGTGTTGGTGTCTTGTTTACTTGGAGGACTTGACATATGTTACCATAATGTAGTGTATTATAAATTGATGTACCTAGACAACATTTTAATTGTTATAAAATGAAATTCGTATTATTGTATTATGAATAAGTATTGAGCACTATTTCTCTGTTAATAACAAAATGATGTATACATTCCAATATATAATTCAAGCATTCTTACTTTATTGCTAAAAAAACGGACATTTGTATTTACGATAAAGCAGAAAATATATACTAAATAGTCTGTAAAAAGGCAATTTCTTCATAAAAATAAAATCTTATTTATTCTTAATCTTATTCCACATTTACAGAAAACTCCTGTCCTACGTTTACAGTGCCTATCGACAAATGAAAAAAAAAGTAATAATATTAAGTAATACAAAAGTATAATTTGCGCAGTATTATTTACAGAAGTATCCTAATTGGATACATTATCCATTCATAATGACATCTAATATGTACACGCATCTTTTAGGTTTTACATTTTTACATATGCATTGTATAAAATTTTGTCATATAGATAGGATTATAAAATACATCGTGCTATACGAGATTACAGTAAGTTTCCGATTTTACTACTAACAAACACTAAATATTTTTTTTGCCGAGTGCTCCTGCTTCTACGACACACTAATTTTTAATCCATTTCTTATCTTTATTTTCCCTTTTGATAAATCAAATTGACAAGTTAGCTTAATAAGATATAGCCCATATTACTAACACTTGTCACAGAAGGGAACTTTTGTTATTATTTTAATGTGTATTCGGAAATATAAAAATAACAGAGATATGTACTTACGTTAAGTTTTCTTTCATTTGATTGAAATAAATTAATATCTTCTTTTCATTTTCTATAATCTTGTATAGTGTATATGTTTAAAATTTGTTTGTTTCAAGCTACATTGAACATGTAATATGAATTTGATTCACAGTTTATACAGTGAATAAAATATATAATTATACATATCATTCATAGGTAAATATAATGTGATATCTCTTTTTGGTATAATCCATTCTACTGAATTTTTGATTGATCACAGGTCCACCATTGATCACATGACATTGCTAGAAGAAGCTACAATTTTGGCTCTTGGCACGGGGTAATATTGTCTGTAGTCTTGATTGAATATTACTATTATATTACTAACCTCACGCTTGCATGAACACGTACATATAAGGTTCTATCAAAATTTGGGCGTTATTTTTTATTATTCTGTGTTATCTGGAATCTATTTGGTCTATACTTAACATATTTTCACTTGGGTGGTGAATGCAAATTAACACACGCTTCCATTTTTATAATGATCGTATTTATAAGAATATTTGTCGGAAAACTATACGAAGCATTAATTTTTATTTTTCTGTGCAGTGTGTGATTGGCAGCTTTTGTGTATGTACTTAATTTCTGTCATAATAAATATGAACTTTATGTTATCCCACATTGTTATCGAAAGATTTTGCAAAATAATCCTATTGATAAAATATATTTAAAATATTTTACAGCACTGCTGTGATAGGTCCTACTGTTGATGTCGACCAACCACTGATGGATGTCACAGAAACTGTCTGAATAACTCCGACAAATCTGGACACCTTCACGCAATTGCAAGTTTGCTTTATGGTCTTAACTATGTAGTCCAGAATATTAATTCATATTTGGCGCTTTTTTATGTTTTAATTCACAGCATTGTGCGTTTAAGGTTTCATAGATATTGTTGTTGCGAAGGAAATTCACACTGAATTGTTAATGCAGTCAACGCAAGTATTTTTAACATTGCGGCTTGTCCCGCAAGATATTTTGAATATTACTGTATTATATATTGTAACATATACATGAATTCATTGTTAAAAGTATTGTTACTTGTATGATTACTTGTAATTTTAACCGTAATATATCACATATAATTAAATTACCCTAGCATAATAATGTCGATGTCTCGATAAATTTGTAATTGATTGAGTGTGTGTAGATTACAAATTGTATTATAAAATGATGAAAAGAGTCATCGCAATTCAATTCAGAGGATAATGATTAACAATAATCTTTGTCAAAATGCAAGCATGTACATCTGTGCTGAACAAAATAGAAATTACAAATAGCGAATAAAAATTTATCCATACTTTATTGTGAAGAATAGATAGGATGATTCTAAATTTATAGTAATTCCTTTATAAGATTTATATTATTTTATGTTTATGTTATAAATTACATAATTATATATAATTTTAGCAATTTTATTACAAGTTTAATAGTTCAACGTAAAGGATATTAATTGTTTTCAAAAGTGTAATTCAGTGAAGCTAAGTAGAATTGTATATTAATCGGAGATTTGTCTCAGAAATGTTTATAGAAAATACGATACAAAAGTTTATATAAAAATATTTTTACAAATATATGTGAACTTTACTTTGAACTTCTTAAGAATCATCCTATTATTTTTAAATACTTAATACAATTTTATTCTACGTTGTGCGGAATCTAGAATTAAGTGCTATCGATTTTACAAATTTATATATGAAATACCAGTTGCATAATATAATGCTATTTTGAAAATTAATGACGATGCTTGTACTTATATAAATATTTCTGGTTATTTATGGTTTACATATTAATTCTAAAGAATGTAATTTTCATGAATTTTTTAACACGTGTAGAAAATATAAATTATGCAATTGGTTGCGTAATTCATCGTATGAATTTCAGGCACAAATAGTTGTGTGTATATACTTATATTGAACTGCCATATTTGCTTACGTATACCCAAGAAATTATTTATGTTTATATGCAAAATATACAAATAAAATATATACATACGTAATCAATCTTATATGTACGTAACAATTATTCATAGCTAACTTGCAAAAGTTTACACATGCGAATTGTGTAACAATATACATATACTTAGGTATGTTAATTATGTATTTCTTATATATTTCTTAATGTGCAAAACTATATTAATCTATTGAAAGTTCTTTACTAATTATAGGCTAATTGAAAACTTGTTTATTCGAAAATATAATTGAATATGTTTGTTTAACTAAAACTATACAGGAGATGTTTATTTTTCATTTTACACATAATACATATATGAAAATATATTTTTTGTTTAAGGAGGTATAAATATTGAAACTATACATTTATATTAACAACATGTACATGTATGAATATCAACTTACAAAGTGTAACCGTATCTTTTCACCCAATTTAATCCTTCTACTGTTAATGATTTCGGTCGGTATTCCAGGCCAATGTAGCCAGTGTAACCAGTCGTTTCCAATAAGGACAAGATATATTTATAATCAATCTCTCCTGGAGTATCAGGTTCGTGCCTGTCAGGAACTTGAGCGATTTGAATGTGACCTAAAAATAATATACTGAATATGTATTATTTGAATATTATGAAAATGACAGTATTAGTATGATATATGTGTCAATGAGACATATTTGTACGACAGTTTACTTACAAGTATTATTGACAAAATCATATAAATACATAAAATACACTTATGTATGAATATTTTGATACGTAATGAATAGCAATTTTAAAATGATATTACTATACATTAATGAAACGTAAAATGTATTAATGAAAGTGTTGAAACTACACAGAGAGAATCTAAAAACTAAGGCAATATTATGTAAAGTTACTAACCCACGTAAGGTAAAAATTCTTGAACACATCTTGTAATATTACCACAACAATGTTGTAAATGAAAGATATCCAGTAACAGCTTAAAGTGTGCATTGTTCACCTTTTTCACCAAATCTAAACCTGTGGTAACGATACTGATATTACTAATAACATATCCATTACGACGAAGGAAGTTCGGACAATATGAATTTAACGTACCTTTCTGAAAATTATTCATATAGTAATTTGGTACACTGTATTTGTTAATTGGTTCAATGACGACAACGATATCCTCTTTTCGACACTGTTCAATGGCATACAGTAAATTTTGTTCATAAGCTAGATCGTTAGCAGCAGTAGGAGTTTCCGCTTTTCCCGACATCACATGAATCCTGTGTTAAGAATAGAATTATTATAAATGTATAACGTGGAGTGTCGCAAGAATTAATTTTCAATCGAGTTTGTGCATTACGATGAATATACTGACATTTTACAGTCCAAAGCTTTTGCGTATTCTATTGTTTTCTCGATACTCCTCTTGAAATTTTCTTCTTCGCCCGGAATCGCAGCGAAGCCCAGTTCTCCTTTTGTAACGTCACCTGTTGTGGCAGTGTTGAAGATAAAGCTAACGAGTTAATTTTTACAGGGCGTAACACAAACGCAAACGTACCTGTGAATACATTCAACAGTACTTGGTCAACATTAGCCGCCTGTTTGGCCGTGGCAACTTGCTCAACCGAGAAACCAAATGGAAAACCACTTTCGACTGCTTTAAATCCAGCTTGCTTGGCTAGTTGGTATCTATCAATAATACTGGGAACTTCAGTGAACATGAAAGACAGATTGCTGGCGAATTTCAGTGCCATGGCAGCGAAAACCGTGATATCTGCAAGGAACGTTTAAATGTGACACATGAAATATTGCAGACGTGTAATGTGCTTTCACTCAGTCGCAGCCTTCAACGTTGGATTATATAACAATTCTTATCTACGATAAGAAAGTTGTAATTACGAAAAATTTTTGTTACCGGAGGATAATTTTAAAACAGACTATATTTACCTGAACACAGAAGGTAAATATCTTTGAGGTTGCAAAGGCGTAAAGGTTATTTCTTACATTAAAATGTTTCGGTTCAAATTCGTGGATTTCCTCGCCACGCTTATGTCCTGGCCGTAATTCACAAACGGCAGATTGGAATAAGATTGGATATGCATATAATTTATTTATATACAAACTGGTACGCACTTTATATTCTACGTAGACTTGACTGCACAACCAAAACTCTCACAAATATCTCATATCTTTCTTATATTCAAGGACTATAAACAGTGCGATGATTCATTTACTTAATCGGTTCACGATACTGTGTGTTCTTTTTTCTCTTTCTTTTTAAAAACAGTCATGTGTTACTAGTAAAAGAGAATGTGAAAAGAGGGGGGGGGGGAGGGGGAGACGACTCTCACGAACTCTAGACGAGGTTGCTCCCTCCCCAAGAACCGTGTTTTTGTACTTTGAATCGATTCTTTCTTGTTCTCAAAGTTATGAATACATATGAATTTTTTACTGACGATCAATCATATTTAAGTATTTATTCTTTTATAGCATTGACCATTTCCCACGTTTGTCATGCAGTAATAATTGTGTGTGTGCGCGCATGTGCGTGCGTGCGTGCGTGAATGCGTGCAGTATGCCACTAAACATAAAACTTGAAAAAAAGTATATGATAAAATCTGCAATGTTTTGTAGACGTACATATTAGGAATAAATCAAGAGGAGGAAAAAGTTTGTTTACACATATACATATACATGGAATAATAAAAGATAAAATAATCAACCAGATCAGAGATTAATATGAAACGACAGAGAAATGCTTCAAACAAAGACGTCGTAAAGATTTTATTGATTAGAGATTTAAGTATGTGTTTATCAACATTAGACGAAATATATGTTTTTCATGCACGCTACGTCTTGGCAAACTATTTTAAATTTCAATATCTTTGTCAATGAAACAAATTGCAGCTTTATTTGTATCGCTTTATTAATGTTAAGATCGAACGCTTTATATTATACAATCATACATTTAATGTATGTAGGATTTATATATAGTCTATCGGGTCAACTTTTGCTTTTTGAGCATATAAGAATTATTTTCTGCCCACCTCCATATTTAGTTATACATATACACACACGTAGTTTATAAATTAAGTGCCGTTTTTAAACATATCTGATATTTTATATATTTAAATATACATATGTGTGTATATAGAGGAAAGTCTCCTATTATGAGATACGCTCCTAATAAAAGATGGCAGGTTTTCAACAACCAATTTCACATATATTTTTTTTTACAATAATTAAGCGCGCGACCTAACAATTAATTTTTCGCCAAACATATTTTACTCCAAGGGCAATAAAGTCATGGCGAAACCCGCTATCTCATATTAGGGGTCCATCTCATAATAGGAGACTGCTCTATGTGTATACGTATGCACACACATATACATGAATAAATAGCCACTATTGCAAACGGTATTCCTATTTTCACAAATAGTTAACAATTGCTTTATATACTTATACTAATTTTTCTACATAAAATAATATTTCTAGTAACAAATGATATTCTTGAGGTAATATAAAATATTCCTAACTGTTAGATATAAAGTTGTGTACAAAATTTTTACAAAACAATTTGTTTGGTAAAATATTAAAATTTTAAAATTTTTTCAACACAGTCGCGATACTGTTATATAAAATTGTCTTTGCGTCGCGACCCCAGAGGTAATCGATGTGATTGAATTTTTCACATGTTATTTTTTCAGTGTGTATAACATTTGGTAAATTATCCACCAATTTCTGAACATCCTGAAACAATTATGAAAAATTATGGAACAAAGACATGATAATATACAGGATACAATGCAGCGTAAACATGTAAGGATCTGAAATAGCAATAAAACTTACGCTGCGATGAGTGATAAAGTCATTTTCGCTGTAGAAGATCGCCACAGGTACCTTTACTCTTTCGAGAGTATATTTAGATGGTTGTGTAGATCCATAGAGAGTTAAGTTTGCTTTATTGCCATAATCAAATTTTCGAAAAGATCCTGGAAAATAAACAATTACCGGTTATATGCAGGACGTTCTAGTATAAATAGCTCTTTCGTTGTACTTTTCAAGCTAAAAGAGATGGGCAAAAAATGTATACATCAAAGGAGGTGTGTTCGGCAAGGGATATTTATTCGTCATAATATATTTTCCTACTTTTTAAATATTTGCTTGTTATAAAATCTTTTTTATCAAAGATATCAAAGATCCTAAAACTGCAACTCTATCAATTATAAACGTAATTTACAGGGATTGTTATCTTACCGGAGAGTATTAGCTGGCTATAATGGAGGAGTTGTTTGATTGAGGCGCCTGCCGGGGAGTGTCCAAATATCAAAGGCAACATGGCTTTATCGAGCTGATTGCTACCGAATCCGGCGATGAGAAAAAACCAGCAGTTACAGAAACCCTTCGTCAACGTAAGAGGAGCGTTGCATACAAAGGTCCGCAATAAACGACTTTGCCATTTACTACGAGGTAACCACTGATGTATATTGCAAATGTAAGATCCCCACTGAAAAATATTTATGATGAACAATGTGGCACGATCTCGTGGAAAAGCTATTGGGAAATGAAACAGTCAAATGTTGCATTACATCGATTAGACTGTAAAACTGTACGATAAACTTTAAAAGTGGACTTCTTTGATTTCCCAAAAATACTGCCGGTGCCAAGCTTATCATTCCTTTGACTTTAGCGTTGTATTCAGGTCTTTCGCTGCCCATTACGTAGAACGCGGCTGCACCTTGACTGTGACCGATATAATACAGTTCGGCATGACCAGTTTTTTCCAAGATATAATCTATCGTCGCTGGTAAATCATAATACCCGATCTCGTGCCAACTACAACAAAAGTATGTGCCATTCTCAGGTAGAATATCATTGCTTCCTTTAGATTTTTATCATTTTAAATTGCATGATTACCTGAAATTCCAAAACTCCCTATCTTTATTCGAGTAATGTTTATGAGATTGGGAGTAGGTGTTTCCACGAGCGTTTGTGAGCCAAACGTCGAATCCATAGTCGCAAAGGAGATATGCTGCAATATGGAAAAAGTTGTACGTGTAATCAGGAATATTTCTAACATTTTAATGATGAATAATCATTATGCCGTTAACATGTCTCATCTCTGTTGAAATAGTAGAAAACATATTAGTATAAATGGTCAAACGACCGAAATGAATAACAAAGATGCAAAGTGAAAAACGAAGAAACGAAAAAATAAAATGGTTAATTAATAGCACTGACCAAGGGATTTGTTAGGTCCCAGAAGCACCCAATCTGCGGAACTCGATAAGAGTCCGTGATTTATAATAATTGGCAATTTAACGCCTGGACTGGTGCAACATTCGAGCGTTTCTAAGATTCGACTACCATCGGGAGAAACTGACGAGTTGCGATCTTCGCTACTTTTATTATCGGTAACAGCCTCATCGTTATTTGTGATGGTGTCGGCGTTTAATGGCACCGATGGTACTCGATCGTTAGATGAAAGCACACGATGCGCAGTTAAATAATAACCGTCTTCCGTACAAATCTGGTGGGTCTCGGCTACGTAACCATGAGCTTCGATCAAGTCGGGCTGCAACGGAATCAAGTAAATGCATTGCGTACACGGGGAAAAAATGTAGCTGCCGTAGCGAAAAACTGCATGTGGTAACTAAATTTTAGTTGTAAAATACAGACAGCTAACAATTAGTTGTGATAACTAATATTTTGCTACTGTGCCTATTGTATTAGGTGCGACAGCAAACCGTTTGCTGCGGTTTAGAAATTGATAGTTATGGCAGCAAAATGTTTTTAGTAAATCATAATTAGCTGCAATAGTGACATTTTTTTCAGTGTAATTTCTTCCATAAAGAACGATTTTACATTGTAATCGTTTCCATTAATTAATTATAGTATTGCAATTAATCTGGTATGAAAGTTCATTTCGTTTAAGTCCGATATACATTCGCAGATACAGAAAGAGATATGCTGATTTGAATGACTCTTTACGAATATTTCAAAATTGCGGATCACTTAATTTTGTTATGGAAGAAAAGGTTAGTGGAAGTTACTTTAATTTGCAAAGTGATTCACAACCGCGGAATTGATTGATTTTAAATAAAATTTACGTCATCGATCGGAGTTTTTTGCACCTAAATGTTTTATTTATCTTGCTTCATTAATCTGATTCGTCATTAAGGCTAACGATAGCGGTGCCGTTTTAATTAATGATGTGATGGTACACGTAAGCCTCATAATAAACTTCGTTTGAATGCAAATGATTTGAACTTGTTTTTGCGTCGTAACGGAATTCTGTTTCCGGGTGAGAAGCATCGTTTTATCAGTTAAACAGTTAATATCAGTTAATGAACGAAAACAATAGGAGATTTGAATCCTGAAGTGTTCCGCTCTTTGAAATATTCAAGAAGTACTTATACGTCGATTAAATTTTAGAAACTGTATTTAATTTTTAATTGGGCTTAAACTTTGACTTGTCCAGTGAAACTAAATTTTTTTTAAACTAAAAGGGTATGTGTTGTCACAAAAAATTACTGAAATTCTCATTTTTGAAAACGTCCTCATGACGTTCTTTCTTAAGACGCTATATTTTTAAGCGTATACTTAGGTATATGGGTGAAAATATTTTACTGAAAATACTATGAAATTCATGCGAAAAGTGAAATGAATATTGAACAATTATAAAGTAACTATTACTGTATAAAACTGTGTAGAATTGTATAGAATTGTATAGAAATATACAATGTAAAAATATGTATGGACATATTTTTTTTATGTATAATTTTATATAATACTATATATTTATTCATGTTCATGCATGAAAAATTTAAGTATACTGTTGGACAATAATAAAAAAAGTTATGCAATATTATATGTTATGAAATTTTTACTGAATTTAACTAACAACTGTGTTATCTTTTAATGAAAAATGTTTGAAATAACTTTTCACTTAACTTTCATTGCAATTGATAAAACGCTAATAAAAAGTTGCATGTTGATAAAACGCTAATAATATACTTCAGCAATTAATTTCATTATATTTTCAATAAAATATTTCCATCATGGACAAAAAATATATTTTAGACATCAAAACGCGTTGGCATAGAATATAACGGATATGCCATGGTACTCTAATTGTTAATTATTATATAATATCACGAAAAGTGATTAAAGAATAGATCTCGCGTATTTTAATCAGGTGGAACGTAATAAACTCAATAATGGCGCTATCGGAACTTAATTTGTCTCTTGCAGGGTTAGAAGTAACTTAATTGTTACTTGCAACAAAGTTACAGTTACAGTTACTTTTTTGTGGTAACTCTAACTTAATTTCGTTACTTTCTCTCTATCTGTAATTGTAACTTAACTCAGTTACATTAATAGTTACTTTATATATGTATATTTTAAACCTCCACAGATCGCGTTAGGCCTTGCATTTGCGCATAAACGCCTTTATTGACACTTTACAATTCAAATGCAGATTTGATATTTTTATTTCCATTGCAAAAAAGTAACGATTCGTTACTCTAAGCGAAAGAACTGTAACTGTAACTAGATTATACTTTTATAAAGTAACTTTCCAACCCTGGTCTCTTGAAATATATCACCCTAGTAGCACCGTGCATTGGCTAAACATTGGTCCAATATTGGTTACATTGGAAATGCATTGATCAGTATTTTCCAGTATAAAGCCAATATTGGTCATGAAATAAATATAAATATTGCGCAATAACAACTGGTGAACTAGTATAGTAAACTAAAATATTTTAAAAAAATATTTGACTTATTCTAATTTATTGCACTAGTTGACCAGTGCAGCATACTAGATTAGAAAACAAGTTTAGCGTCATGATTGATTATTTGTTCCAAAGGTTAATGTACCTAGGGCTGGGGATATTTCAACATTAACCTTTCAACATGAATCCTCGATTTTCATAAATGCGTGAAGAAAAACGCACGCGATAACGCGCGTCCTCCTTCGCTTCCACCAATCAACTGCGCGCTTTTTTTTCTTGCAGTGCGCTGAAACCGTAACGTTTTAAAATTTTGAAGCCTCGCGCAAGAATCTAGCACGGCCAGCCGTGGGCGAGGATCTGCAAAACAGCCGCGAGTCTCTCTATAACAGTATGCCCAAACAGGTTGGCAAACTGGAAATGGCCGTGCACATTGCGGGGCGCGAAAGGAGAACGCGAAACGGCCCCGAGTTTCTTATCGATACCTCGTAAAATCGCATATTTATAAATATTCAGTCAGGGACGCCGAGAGCGTGTTACAGATACGTGAAGGAATTTACGCGCGGTCCGTCTCGATTGGGCATTATTCGTCCCGGCGGACAACTCGAGGTACCAAAAAAGATTCAACTTGAGAGCGTCCGACAATGGCCGAGAGGCTCGCTCGGGAGGCCGCGTTTTCGTTCTCCTTCCCTTTCACTCGGCGAGTTGGAGCATTACGATGCACGGCGTAAGTGTCTTGTATAATCATTTCTCGATAATCTCTACCGAAATAATTTTACGTAACGACGTGATATCGATGTAGCATCTTACCGTTGTCATCATGTGGGCCTCATCTCGACACGTTGTCTCGCTCATCGTCGTTGCTGGCTATCGACGTTTGCGGCCGACTTTTCCCTACGAACTATATTCCGCGGGAGCCGCCTATCTCTCCGCTCTCTATTTACCTATTTATCTCTCTTTCTTCGCTCTTACTCTGGCTCACGCAAACTCTTCTTTTCCTCGAGGCACGGCTCGCGCGACTCGAGCGGCTCGCGAGAAAGTGATCCCGCGAAATTGCGCGCCGAAGAAGCGAGGAAAACGATCTGCGCCGCGTACTACGGCGGAAAGGGGAACCCGCGCACGTTGTGATGGCGCGGTGAAAGGCGTGCGTTTTCCTTCCGCGAGATCTCCCGAAATCGCCGTTCGATTGTTATTAACGGCGCGCGCCTCACGACGCGAGATTCGCCCCCGTGAAGCGAAGGCTCTCCCCGGCTCTTTGCGCTTTTTGAAAACGCAGCGGAACGAATTTACACTTGCGCGCGCACGCGTGCAGCAATTCGCGTACACTCCACGAGTCCCACCGAATCCTTTATCCTTCTCGATCGACAACAACAGACTGCGGGCACGAGCGCGAGATATACATATATATATGTGTGTGGTGACAAGTTCGGCCGCCAAGTGGGGGGAAGGGGGGGATAGTCTGAAATGAGTTCTATAATTATTCGAGGGAAAAAATTCGCTCGCGAGGACGAGTCGGCTGTTACTATAATGTCCGGTGCATCCCGTTTGTTTCCCTCGCGAGTGAGAAATTGGCGAATGTGCTCCGGAGTACTCGAATATTACCGAAAGCCGAGCCTGCGCGATAGAGTTGTCCGGAGAGTATCGGTGCGGGGCGGCTACGATTAACGTGAACTTTGTACCGTTTTCTTCTTGGTGCTCTCGTGGAGAAAGGAAAAGTTTATTGTTTGCCAGAAAAGAAAATGCAAGTGCGTCGCGATAAAAAGATGGAGCTCTCCCGCGCTCAAGTATCGATATATGCGTATATGAATTGAATCGTCGATTAATATACTCGGAAGTAACGGCAACGCAAAATGCGTCAAACGTAATTTGTAGTAAGACAATTGGGATTCGTGGGTCTGAAAAAGGTATTGGATCGCGGGCTAATTTCGGGATAATTTTCCGTTTTCGGTAAAATGTTCAGATGAACTTTAGAGACTTGGTTAACTGAAACGGGTTTGCGAGAACATCCAAAATGCGTCAGACTCCAAGAAGTCAAGACTAAATCAAAATGACATCATAATGACATCATAGGGACGAAGTTCACATTTTGATCGTGACAGAAAGTCGATCAAATTACG